AGAAGTGGTTTGCCATTGCCTTCTTCTGGGTGTGAATGGAGTAATTGTTGGGATGCCAATGAGGAAAACTCCGTGTTGCCTAGGCCACGGCCTGGCCCAACACAAGTTAAAAATTCGGGCACCGCCGGGAATCGAACCCGAGACCCCAGGATTACAAGGCCAGCGTTCTAACCGCTAGACCACCGTGGCACTCCCACCAGAGCGTAGTAAAACAAAATGATACCCAATTCTTAAGTAGTGTGCGCAATTAAATATCACGCAGACGAATTTGATTCTGATCTACAGCTGTCTCTTTGGGTTGCGAAAGACAGCTGCGTAGATTGATTATATATGAGAAAGGCTGTTGGGTAAAACATTCAGATTAAAGGGGACGAAGTAACAGGAGACGGAAGAAAACTGGGTGAAGACGGCCTTCGTCATTTGTGTTCTTCACCAGATACAATTAGGATGATCAAATCAAGGAGGACAATGGTGGCGGGGGGTGTAGCACAAATGAGGCACAAGAGAAATGCAGACATTCTTGTCGGAAGAGATTACTCAGAAGACTTGGGCATAATAAGGAGAATTGCATTTAAATGGGACGAAGATTTTAAGCTGTGGGCTAAATTCATCTGACTTCTTATACGGACTATTGTTTTGATCACGACAATGAATCTTCGTGTTCTATAAATGTGTGAAAATTTGTGTAAAAGTGTTATGATTCAAGTGTTTTTCACAGTATCCTGTCTTGCTCGTTTTTGAACATACCCACTGATTTAATTTTATGTTTTGTATTAGTTTATTCTTTGGTTTTAAATGCTTATTGTCGTCTTCTGTCTTTTCCATATCCGTCACTCAAAAACGAGTAATTATTATTCAGGTTATGGAAGAAGAGACGATGATGTCATCACGTTTCGGTGACGCCCATTCTGTCGTGAAACAAATTGACGGGGGACGGAATCACGTGTGAGGGAGATTTGAGGGGAGAGGGGAGATCACGCGAGAGGAACCAATTACGGAAGTAGTTCCCTCTAGTCCCCGCTAGATGTTGCTGAGTGCACCGCTACTCGTTCAACTGAACAAATTTCACTTGATTTAGTTATTGAAACTAATTCAGTAGCGAGTATACACAGTTACATCTACAAATTGCGTCGCATAAAGAAAGAAATGAAAAGATGTTGGTTATGATAGCTGCCATAAATTCATTTAAAGAATAATTAATTTAAAACAATTTATAGAGATAAACTATACCGAATACATATCAATCGTGAAAAACCATCCGCTTTCCTACCTCTGTATTCTTGGACAAATTCATGTCAAACTGTGTTCGGTCCACGATCCATTAAAGCATAAAGCTCATCGAAATTGTATTTAAGAATTCATTTCCTAGTTCAAAGAAAACACAACACAAACATATGTTGGTTAATGCTTTTCAGGGAATAGTCACTGTTTATTCTGAAAGTTGTATGTACACTCTTGGGTAAAATGCAGATTTATTAAATGTCTGAGAAGGTGGTACTTGTAATAGATGACAATGTTCAAACCTGTTTAAATTATATAACCTATATAATTCAAAAAGCATCGTTAAACAATCCAATAACTAATTTAAGTAACCCTTTACTTTTACATTGGACCGTCTTACGAGAATATGGCGCTAATGTTTATGGTCTATCATAACCGACTCCATAAAATATCCTTCGCCCGGAGTGAATAATGTAGGAGTCTCGTTATGTTATTTTCTTCATTACCACGGAAACTACCTCATTTCTTCTTTTTCTCCTTCTCGCTACCATGTCCAGACCAGTCATGGACCCCACCCACCATCCTATGCTATGGGAACGTGGGACAACTTTCCCTATGGTAAGTTGGCCGCAGCGTGATGTTGAACACTCATCTCCATCTAGTGGCAGTGTTATTAAGTGTAGCACGTCCCTCGTCTTGGCTACTGACGCCTGTGCATTAGTTATTAACTGATATTAATGTATGGGACTTCTATATCTTGAAGTTAATTAATTCTAAATTGGATTCCACAAGCCCTTAAATTGACATAATTATTTAGTCAGCCAACTGGAATTGTCAGCTCTCGCAGTTCCTAGAGGCAAACAGCACTCATTAAATTTCGCTACTTTCTAAATTAAAATTAAGACTAATCAACTTTATCAACCCAGTAAGCCCGAGTATTTATTTTTAAAATTTCCATGGTCATCTGTTACTCCCATTTTCCTAATGCGTAATCCTTTCCTTGAAATTATTTAGTTACATGACAAAATTACCAGGCAGATTGGGAATACATGTAAATCACTGGTATTAGAAATATGTTGAATTCGTAATATGTTATTAAAATTTTCTAACAATGTAGTTTCTGAAGTTCGAGGTATCTTAGCATCACTCCCCTGTGCCACGTTTTAACAACAGCAACCAGACGACAGTAAGATTCATACTCGCCGCGGTGAGAAACTGAAATCTCGCCAATTTATGGGACATAAATATGAATCTTAAACTATGTTTAAATGTATTTTCAGAGAACTTATCGATAGTATAACAGCTTCGATATCTGACGTAACCTAACATATTCAATTTACCCGTGGATGGATAACACGTTTGTGCAGCCCTGTCTGAGTTTCAGAAAGGATAAGATTCGCGACTCGTAAATTAAGGTTCATATATGCTTATAAATAGAGGCAGAACTCTCATGTTAACCGTGCTAGTCCGGCTAACACTTCGAAAAACGAAAAATAGGAAGTTTTCTGACTTATTCTCGTGGTTCAGTGGTACTTCATACATCGGAACATACCAAAACTTTTAAGACACACGCAACTAATACGTTGCAATTCATTTAACTAAAAAATATTAATAGTGATTTTTACCACTCCAAGTATAGTAGCTGTGCATTACTGTGTGATAATATTTAATGTGGTCGGTTTCTCTCACTAGATTTGCTCTCTGCTCTGTGCAGTCTCCGGTATTACACTTCGTCACAGAAGAAAATTTATTTTTTGTCTCAAACTTGATTTGACTGAGTGTGTCTTGTAATATAAACACCTGTTAAATTAAGAAGTTGATGTCCCTTGTTCTTCTGCACTACGTCATGAAGACGCATCCTTGATTAAATATTCCATGAATTCTTAACCTCAGCTTTACGCTCCTCCCCCTTTATCCTAAGGAAGGAGCCGCTGGTACCCATTGAAACGATGGCTTGGCGGTCCTCCAGAGCCGGATAGTGGTGAAGAGAGAGAGATTACTGCCGTTGTCGGGAATCGAATCCCGGGCCTCCAGTTAATAGTCACTGTACTGAATGAACTTGCTGTTTATGTGCAGTGATAACTTGGCGGTACAGAAACCAGTGAGTGGGACTTAGACACAGAAACAAAATACTTTATAGACGTAGCCACTTGAAATTAAAATTAAATGTAGCTAAGTACAAAAAAAATATTTATAGTAAATGCTGCTTAGTAACTTAATTTGTATTGGCATAGAGTAGTTATAGTGATATAAAATACGTTATGAAGTAGTAGATATAAATAAATATTATACCAGACAAAATTCAATGCCAGTGACTTATACTCGTTGGGTTTTAAGCCGTCCCATTAATCGTTTGGGCAGACAATCACGTAATATAGAATAACCTCTACGACTTTGGTTCACTAATACTTGGTTAAAAATGGCTGGGATTTTAATTTAAATCTGTAGGAAACCTAGATAGATAATTTCACGGATTTAGACTCTTTAGTTCCTACGTATAATTAATTGTAACCTATTTTAATCTTATGGTGCGAAATATTTGCTAATTCTGTATATACTAGAAGATAATAGTTACTTAGCTCGTTTAGACATTCCTAGCCTTTTGTGTTAACCGAAAGTTTCTTACGGTGTTCACAAGAGCCCTTTCAAATAATAAAATGTCCATACATGACAATTGATTCTTTATTTCACACTTACATTTATGGGTTGTCGATTCAGCCCCCCCGACATCAACAGTACTGTACTGCAGATGATAATTCAGCCAGTGGAGATGTCTTCATTTATCTCATAGGTAGCATGCTTTTAAAAATGACTGTGAATACAGACAAAATTATGCCACAACAGCCACTGTCATAAAGACAATGACATTGCTTTTTTATGTTTATATAAACGAAAAGATAACATATTCTGTTCCACGTGACGTAAATTAGTGGTCGTTTTGTTTCCATTTTGTATTAGCGCAGCAGAGAATATAATTGCAGGCAGAATGTTACGCTCCTTCTTTTTGTTAATTACTGGTCTGAGTACATTTCCGGCTTCATGTTCATAGAACAGTTTCCATGTCTCAGAGCGCCTAGATGTCTCTTGCGTTTCTTGAAGCATGGCGTTTAACGCGGAAACAACTTCACCGTTCACTGTCACGCTTATTTACCCATTTTACAGTCAGGTGTACCAAAGCTCGAAAAGATGTATTCAGAATATTGTTGTACATTTCAATATTTGACCGATATAAACCTGACTAAATTTGCCCAACATTGAAGATTTTTGTCTTCTGGGTTGTTGCGCTGTGTAGTCTGGTCGATGTTAACCAACGTTTCAGAGGTCATACTGCCTCCGTCATCAGGGCGATGA